TCCAACAACAAAAGCTATAGTAGCACTTGAAGTTGCTGTTCTGGAGGATTTCGTCAGCTCTCACCGGCTCACACGAATATGTACCGACCGAAAACATACAGTAAACTTAAGCAAGCCCGAAGCCTCTCAGCCAGAGGGGCTCGGACCAAACCACTGATCGAACCGAATGAACACGATGACTGCGATGCCGATTTGCGGTGAACAAATGCGGCGGGAGATCTGTCTGAGCCTGGGAAGTATACAGCATATTTTCATTCCTGACCTTTACATTAGCCGTGTAGTGGTGATGCCGGTCCGGTGCCACCAAGCCCACGGTACCAGCGCTGGCTGAAGAATCGCATTCCTGAGATGCAAGTACATGATACGCAGCCTAAGCCTGCAACCCCGAAACCTGAAAGCCCCAAGCCCCAAGCTCATTTATGAACCCACAACATCATGAACCTGAGGTCCAAGAACACAGGCGCACCCTGGGTGCCAGAACCCTGCAGGTGCTTGCGGCGGCCGGCCACTAAACAAATGTGGATGAACTGCACACCCAGAAGAAGCAGTGCTTGGAAATGCAACGCCGTCCCTGGAGTCTATGGAAACATTTGGATTGTGCCAACTAACGGGCATTCTCTTCATTCACTGCTCCTCAGGGATAGGTGTAGCTTGGGTCACTGTGTTGCATGGAGCAATGACAATGAGAAGGCAGAGAATCCGCACATGATCCTCAGCCACAATAGCTTAGCTAGGAATACTAACTGCAGTCAGTTGTCTGCAGCAGACGTAATGGGCAAAGGACTTGATTACATTCGGGACATAGGCGATGAAATCCCCCAAAGTCCCCTTTGTCCACCCGAAGCATCTGCTAGTATTGGCGCTAGCTCATAGGCCCGGACAAAGCCATGTACTGACGTGGAAGGAACTCCTTGAATGAGAGTTTGTGAAGTTCATTCAGAAGCCCCCTTAATCCCGTAAAGGTCATGGTGCCCCAAGCGGGAACTGACCATTCGGAAGCTGCACGGGTAACCTGGCTGACCAGGACCAAGAGCTTCAGATGCAAAAAGTTCAGGGCTTGGTGATCTGGTGTGAAGCTTGGGGACATGAAGCCATTGGGGACGGTAACGCGGTAACGTTTTCAGGGGCTTTGATGGTTTTGTGGGGACGGTCTACATGAAGCGGGAAATGCTACATCATAATGATTCTGATTCAAACTTGTCTAGTAAAGCCTGCCGCGTGCGGTCTTGTTAAATACGCTGGCTTTGTTGCACATAGGCCTGCTGTGAAAACCCGGTTGCTTTCAGACATCCAGCTTCAAGTCTGGAATGCAATGCGGAATTACACAGGTCAGGAAACAAGCAGTTGTACCTTGGCCGCCCAACCCTGCAAGGAAAGTTAACAGGCAGATGCTTCCACCCCGCCCCGCAACATTTGAGAGAAAAAGATGACACAAAAACGCGAAACAGCTTATAAAATCCCTCTCCGCACCCTACAGAAGCCCCTTCATGATCTCTGCAGCGGCGAGGAACAGACTTCTGACTGGATCGTTGGCTCCCAGACCTGTGATGAAGCACACCAGTAGTTTTGTCCATCCAACGGTGTATGTTGTGCGGGTGTCAGTTGGGGAACGCGTTAATCACCATTGACAGCTGCAGCCCGCAGAAGACCTGCAGGGTATAAAGGCAATGTAGAAGCCTAGAACAGGCCCAACTCAGCAACACGTAATCCTTGGCAAATAAAGAGTAGTAGAACATGACCTATAAAGAACATTCACTGACTCATTGATTCATATTGTCCCCAAAGCCCTTCTCTGTCGTTGATGCCCGGTGTCCTGAACAGACATCTTCGCATTTAATGGTGGGTGGCTGCTAGTCAAAATAAGGGCTCCAATGCTCCAACATACGCCGATCCTGAGAGCCTTATTGCTGTAGCCAAACATATTCAAAACGCTCTAGACCCAGATCGACAGTCGCTAAACAATGTCTATCAAAACCCTCATCCTTCTCTCTGTATGATATGTGTTTATCCGCTGGAAGCTTAGGTCCCAACACCGTAAATGCTGAACGTTAGGTCGCAAACCCTGAACCCTAACCCTAGACCTGAAGCCCGTCTTAGGGGGTGCCACGCTTCAGACGCTTCAGGGAATTTCATGATTTGGAGTTTTTTGGAGTTCAAGGCTGAGGAGACTTGACGTTGTAGAGTTTGGTTGGGGCTGTAGGTTTGCTTAAACAACAGCATCCGCTCATACGGGCTGTATAGATTTGTAGGGATACTACATTTCGTCGACATTGCGAACATGTGGGGCTTCATGGGAATTGCGTTTCCGCGGCTAGCTCCAAAAAAAGAAGCATCTTCTTTGCCGTCATGCTGCATCGGAGTGTCGTGTTGGAGCCAAGGCAGGGTCTTGCGCCACCACAGTTACAGTGCACCTCATGCTCAGAGGACTGCGTCGGCGACCGGTGGACGAAAGGCTTCAGAGGCATGTCACATACAATGGTCAGGGATTAGCCTGACACCGAAACAATGTTTCAACACGGTCTTCAAAACAGGATTCTACTCATGGGTAGAAACGAAGATGGTAACTCGACTATACAGTATGCAATGCTGCATGCCTCGCTTTTGGTGGAAACCACTTGACTGCCCAGATAGCAGGAGGTGCACAAATCTGCCAAACTCCCCAAAGAGCCACCTGATGTTGGCACGTCCCTACCTCATAGACTCCCCCTGTCGGTTCATTCCGAATCATGAGTGTCTGAGGGTCATCTAGAACAAGCAGCTGTGCAGGAAACAGCCTGGCTACGACTTGGCTGTAGTTTGCCTACATCATACTATGCCCGGCCACCCTGAGCCCTTGCTCAAAGCCATCTACTTGTTCCTGATTTCTGAGCAGGCTGCGACGCAGTCACCACACTGCGCAACGTTGGAACATGCGGAGGCATCCTGGTGAGCACGAAAAAAAAGCGAGTCTGCCTGATATGAGGGGGAGATCAGAGATGGAGGTTTAGGGTTCAGGGGTTCAGATTGGTCATGCTCTGGGGCCTTATACTACGAGGGTATATTGTCTGCGGTCAAGTATGATGGGAGTCTGCCTGAGCTTTTGTTCCCCAAATGCGGCAGAACACTTTAGGGACTCGCAGTATGAAAGCAAGTATGCGGACTATGTTGGCGTTGCACACCTCAACCCCTCTTGCGAATTGCAATCCATGCTAGGAAGCGTACTTAAACGGCACACAGCACGACTGCCACAATGCCATTGATGCAGACCCTAGACATCAGGGAATCTTTAGAGAGGCACTGAATCACAGCCGCCGAACCACGTGCAATCGTTTGGATTCCTCCTTGGGTTGAAAAGAGCGTCAGGCTGCCTGGCCGAAGCTCCAACTGAAGGAGCCCTCCATAGCTTTGCCTCTTGTCCCAATCCTGACCCAACTTGTCAATCGCCTTCCTCCCTACACCTACACTCAATTGACAGCTTTCCACCCAGTGCACAGGGTCCTGCATGGGCCCTAGTGGCCCTGCCCTTGGCGCCTGGCAAGTACCCTGAGATGCTGCCCATGGCACAAACAGCGCAAGAAGGACAGCTGCTTGTCTCATTACCTCGGTTTTGGACATGTGGGCTTCTCAACAATTTTAGGGCCCATTCGGAGGTGTCAAAAAATGCGGTTCTGCCGGAATAAAAAGGGCCCAGGCTTTGCGAATCGTTGATTGGGCTCGAAGATTTGCATGTTGCGCGTGCAGGAAGGCACGCAACCCGGTCAGCGACATCGTCAGTACAGCTGCTGCGTGACACAAGCTACAGGTCTATGAGTCTATGATGAATGCCAACTACAAATTGCGAATCTCATGCAAAAGGAATTATGGTTTAAGCTGCAACCTGTCACGAATTGTGCCAACCGAGCAATGTCCGAAATTGTCTGCTAGCCCTTTCCGAACTTTCTCGGCCCTTTTTAGGTACCTCGCATAGATCTAACACCAGAGTTGAGATAGGGAACCTGGTCTTTGCAAAAAACACCAAAGCCTATCCACAACCCTGCATGATTCCTATGTAACCCCCATCTATCCCTAAACTCTAAATAATAGTGTTAAACTTCTTTTTATTCCCAGCAGCCCACTTACCATTGCGAGGCAAGGTGCGCGCGCCATGCATGACCTGGTTTCAGGGTGCCTGGCGCGCGCGCGTCCAGCAGGGCATCCTTTTCTGCCCAGCCGCAAATTTCTAGGTATCCCAGGTGGGTTTAGGTGAGTAGGGTAGGGGTGTTCTCCTTTTTTTAATCTAAGCTGAAACTAGAGCAGAGCCGAGTCTTCCAATTCAGTCTAGTAAAGCTATGCAGGTTCCACTGGGCTACCTAGGGTTTAAAAGCCTTTGAGCCTCAGCGGCTGCGTTTGAAGAGGCACCGGATGTTAGTGCACCTACCTTGTACAGCCCATCCCCATCCCAAGCTTCAGAACTGCGCTATGCCTACATGGTACTCACCTCGAGCTGGCTCCATCCTGATTGTCCTTAACAACTATATTGGGGGTTATATAGGGATAATGGAAAAGAAAATGGAAACTACTACAATATATTGGGTATATGTAGGGTTTACGGTTTAGTGGCCGCATCTCATAGTAACAGGGGTGGCCCATAGACAATGCAATGAGATACAATCCATGGACATGAGGGCTTAACTGGTGCACAGGGTCTACCTAGGCATATTACCCAGCACTAGCGTTATCCATTCTACTCAGGCCTAAGTTCGCACTTTTAGGGGCCTATCACCCCAATTTCATGTTATGGGGGGGGGGGGGGGTTCTTGGAACAGAGTCTTTTAGACATGTCAAAAAAACCTTTGAGGGCCGAAAACCCCAATCGAATGTTATGGTGGGGTCTTGGAACAGGGTATTGAATGTTCTATTAATATAGCATAATATAGTATATTGGGTGCTTCCATTTTCTTTTCCATTAACCCTTTACAGCCCCATACTACCCTACATTATCTCAATGGGTATTGTAAATTCTGCTGTAGCAAGGCCAGCACTTGAGGCGGCGCCGCCGCTGCCTGCTCCTCATCACCGCCTGCACGTGTTGCTTCAACCAAGGAATTATTTAGGGATATATTGGTATAATGGAAAAACGAAACGTCTTCTTATCATCAGTATGTGGGATATCTTGGAGTAATGGAAAAAAAGAAACTACTATGTATTCAAACACTGGCTCACATACAAGTTTCCCGGCCCACTACTTGGGACAATCTGATTCTTGCCGTACTTCTACATAATTCCATGTGCTTGCATGGTCCTTGGTCCTGGGGTTGTTGTAAAGTCGGCTTTTCCTGTATCGGTAATCCCCGCTTCCTTGGTCGTTTCCCAAAGTGATCTCATCACCAGATATACCCTGGTACAAAAAAGCCTTATAACCCCGCACCCCACCCCAAACCTTGAACCCTACCCAGTAGTTTCCTTTTTTCCCTTGTCTAAAAATATCCCTAAACCAAACATGGGCAAGAGCAACTTGATTCTCCTCTTGGCCTCTTGGACTGTTTAGGGTGCAGGATCATCAAGCTCAGCGGGTTGGCATTCCGGGGTTCGGGACCGGGATTGAATTGTCATTGCTGAGCTTTGCCGTTGCTGACAGCTTCCCAGATGGGATTCGAGTGAAGTTTGTGTGCGCGCTGCAGCCAGCTGGATCCGCTCGGATTGGATTGCTTTGACATGTTCGCGCTCTGCCTCAGAAGGAACAGGTCTGGAAGAGAGCTCTAGCAATGAAGGCTCGGCATTGCGTGCCGGCAGCTTTGCCTGCTGAGGCGGGTAAAGGCCGCAAACATGAAGCTATGTTGTGGGGTTGCCTTGCAGTGAAACAGTTGATATCGGCTGGTCAATGTAGACAGCTTCCATGAAAGGCAAGACTATTCAGCGCCGTAGGCCAGGATCTTAAACATCTGTTTTTTCGGCTATTTAGCTATGCAGCTATGTCTCAGTTGGGGTCCTCCGTCATTCCAGAAATGCTAGACTACGATGCTAATTAAGAACTGCGGGAGGTATCGGCACAAGCGTGATCAAGCGTGTACGTATTGAGCCCGTCTGAACCCCTGAAATGACCTTGCGTTGTGAGAAGGAGCCTGCTTGCGTGTACTCTCCCGCGTTCTGGTTCCTGCGCACCACCTCGCAACATGCATACAGGCTCCCTCAACAGTGAAGCTCTCCGTCTACTGTTTCAACATATCTTTTGGTTGTGGGATGTTTGCTGTTTGCTCCCGTTTCGTAGACCACACGTCACTATGGACTGTTTTGGGGGGACCCTTGCGTAAAGGATCCCACCATTTAGATTGAGTTCTGATGTGCTTATCGGGCCTCTCATGTAGGAAAGCCGGACTTCTCAATGATGACATGAGACCCTTTCAGATGATGCAGCATGATGCAGGAAAGAATTCTGACTCACATACCCTTACCCTACTTCAGCCATTCTGAGTCTAAATGGTCTTTGCTGAAATTTAAATGACACACTGCTGCCACCTGAGAGCTGCCGACATGGAGACGAAGGTCATGCTGAATGGAGAGCAGAGCTTAGTATGAACTCGTTGAATGATCTTCCCTAAGAAGGCATTCCATGCCTGTCGCTTGTGCACGCCCCCCGGATCCCGATACACCAGGATGTTGTGCAGCCCGCAGCCTGTCCAAAGGGATTCTTTATTCTGAGCTCGGGCTCCGAAGGCTTGAGGCTGAGCGATGTCTCCAGCGGAAGACGGCCAGCAGCTTTAAGCTTAAGGATGGAAAGATTTGAAATTGGGAACGGATGGGCATGCGCAGCTCAGCTGAGGGATTGCCATCTGAGAGCACTTACAATGACCAGCACAAACACCAACAAAACCTCAATTGAAGCATGCCATCTCCCGTGCTGGCGACTGTGAGTGGGCTTACAACTACCCCACGCACCTGCAGCGCAGGAGACAAAGGTGGCTCAATGCCTAGCTGATTTTCGTGGTAGACCAGCTACTTTTAACACTAGATGTCCATCCACCTGCTACGCCTGCTAACCTCAAAACCCAGTTTAATCCCCTGGACTTTGAAAGAAATCCAGATGCTACCTGAGCCAAGGAGGGTTTGAGGTGAAAAGTTATACGTTGGGTACCTTCGTAGGAGGCCTCATAGCGCCCTACCCACGTCTTCGCTCAGGGCTTGGCCTTTGCAGCCGCAGAGCTTCGACTTGATGCAGTCGAAGAAGGTCCCTGAGATCAGGGAGTCAGGACTGGGGGTGTGCGGAGTTGAGAGGTCAAACGCTGCACTGATTTTAGCTCAGGGCAATGGATTTGAGGCAGTTGGAGCTTGGGGTTGAAAGTTCAGAGGTCCAAGGCTTGGGCTCAGGTGCTCGACTGTACATAGCTTGGGGCCTGTGGCACGTAATATGCAACACAGGCCTGAAGAATGAATGCACGCGCCCAGGCTGAGGTGCCTCCTACACAGACCATTTCATGCCCCATACCAAAACACTTGCAATCCATGGTCACAGGGTTTATAACAAGACTTGAGCGAACGAAGCCCCGCCTATCGAGAGCACGCCAAAGATTAGAGAAGAGACGGCCAAGTCTTGGGCCATCCGGTGACCATACCTCACATTTGCATGAGCTGTCACTTCTAACTATCTAAACAATGCTGCGTGAAAGACCGTATTAAGATGAAGACTACAGTATTGTGGGAAGTCTACATGGCAATCCTGACCTTGAGGGAGATTCACACAATGGGGTAGCCTGTAGACACTACAGATGAATTGACATCTCAATGGTTCCCTAAGTAAGGTTCCATGAGGTCTCTTATGGATTCCCTACGTAATTCAAACAAACTTCCCTTGAGTACAGGCCAAGAGGCGATACTCGCAACAGCTGAAAAACCCCGTTCTAGAGCATCCAGGAAAACATGGACCTACAGGGTCCATCATCTGTTGGGCCTGGGTTGAAATGAAGACTCAACAAAGCTGTTGCGGCAAATGCGGCAAGATGGCGGGTTGCTTATCCTCGCAGTTGGTTCACGCAGCGTTTTTTCTTCAGTGCATTCACTCAGAATGCACTCCAGGTGCAGAGCCACGGCTACACAGCTATATTCGAACCTGTTGGAGAATTCCAAGTGCTTGCCTCTCCCTGTATCCAGGATAAAAGGAGTTTTTCATGGACAAATGAAAGCATGTGTCCAATGTCTATACTCCTCGCCTACTCCTCGCTTCACGGACTTGAGACTGGGGATCGCTTGCTTCAAGATGGCCAAATACCAAAAGAGTTTTACCAGACCACAGGAGGTGGATACACAGTCTGCTTGGTGCTGAAGTGGCTTTTCGTTGGATCCCTCCTTTCACTCTCATGTGAATGAAAATAAATCCTTTTGAATGGAGGAAGGCTGAGTCAGTCAACCTCTGGGTTCAGAGCACATAGCAGAGAGAACGCCATGGCATGCAGCAAGGGCGCAGCCACGTCTTGGCCGTTCTTTGGATGGCCTGCCCGGGACCTGCGTTGGCAGGCTTCTCGACTTTGATAGGGTCAAGGATTCAGAGTTCAGGGCTATGCAACTCGTACGCGCTTTGCGTGGCGACTGCGTCTGCCGACGTGCTATGAACGGGGGGTTAGGACATGTACCATTGCCTGCCCAATTTTCAGTGGGTGAGCCTGCTAAAGAAGAGCTGTAATGCATTCCAGGCTTTGGCTCGAGTGTATTTTCCGAATTAAGCCCCAGGTGTCTGCTGCCTCCAGCTACCGAACCCGAGTCAAGGATACAGGATGATCTGCTACAGCCACGGCAACACGTAGACCCGGTACCACTGTCTGCACAATCACAACTAGTGCCGGAGTTTGAAAAAACACGAGGTGTGACCCGACAAACTACCAGTGTGATGCGGTTGCCAAAAGTACTTCACGATCATCAAGCAACTTTTGGGTCAACATCGATCTGATTCAGCTGGTCCCTCCACCCACCCGGAGTTCAACTCTCAAAGTCGGGGCCTTTGCCCTTGAGTCGGAAGGCGCACTCCACCGCTTCCAGGCACAGGGAGAGCAAGGAGAACTTCCTTGGCATTGCCATTCAGGGCTCACAGTCCCTCTACAGTGGGTAGAAAACTGAAACTGGAATACGAAGCACCTTCCCTTTGTCATGAAAATTCTCTCTGTCCACTAAAGGAGGACCCATGGGCTTTGGTGTCAGCACTTCATGTGTGAAAGGCAAGTGGCCCACTCACGGGTGACTAGAAGCAATCACGAGTGTGCCCAATCCATGTAGCAATGCCAGTCATCCATCATCCAAGCCCCACACAATAACTATGGTATTCCATATTCTGCACTGCAAGCAAATCACAGGAGCAGGCCGACCGTGAAGGATTTCCACCAGCTTAGGCTCAAGAGCTTCCAGAGATAAAAGAGCGTCTCTACCTCAGAAAGTATGGCGTTGCGGGGTTCGCAGATTTCGGGCTGTCACATCTTTGGAGTTTGTGTGTAAGTGTTGAGGCTGCTGCTCGCTACGATGAAGGGCTTCCCCCAGCAACTTGGGCTTTGGGTTTCAAGCTAAGGCGCATCAAGGTGCTAAGAACTCGGCTATAGATGACAGCATGTCTTGGCGATGTCTTGCTTCGCTCTGTAGGTTTTTTTGGGAAAACTTCCTCACCCCTGTTTCCTAAGATGATACAATGCTTTGGGATGTGGGTGCAAAGTGTTGGGTTTCCCAGTCTGTTTATTGTATCTACTTGCAGGACAAGACGAGGACTCTGTTATCGTAAGCATAGTACACAACTCACGACTTTACAGATTGTTGCGGAACTTGCAAATTTCTTGGAAAGCAACAAGTTTGTTGTATGACTAATTATGACTATCTTGAATACACGAAGAAAGAATTCAAACAAACTCAAACACCTTTTCCATAGTTTAAAGAGTTCAGGCTCAAAAAGGCACTGTGACCGGCGTCTAACCGTCTGTGCTTCAAATCATGGATTGACATGGTTCTTCTCGCCTCTTTTGTCAATTTTCGCAAGTAACAGACTTGTCAACTCTGCCTTTCTCACATGAAGTTCCAGCAGCCGGTTTCTTGCCACTCTCGGACTCTCCAAAACAGCACAGGAAAGAAACTAGCAACTTGCCACTCCAACTGCGTACAAACTTGTCAACACTGCGACTCAAAAGGTGTCAAACATCCGAAAACTGCTTCAAAGCCTTGATTAACTTAAGTGAACATTGTCTATTCATAGGCACACACGGAAGAAGATGCCAAAACTTAGACAAGGCTATCCCAGCAATTGAAATCCTACAGTTGCATCACGCCACAAATAACAGACTGCTTAACCATTCACAACAAGGAGAAGCCGTGGGCACCAGATATTCTGTAAGGTTTGATACGGAATGAACAGGCAACGTTGAAATGTCAAAATGTGAAATGCCTGTGGCTGATATGTCCCTCTGCCTCCCAGCCAATCTGCGACACGAGGGGTCACAGGGGAGAACATGCCCGAATTCATGCATTTGTTTGTACATACGCATATGCAGATACATGAATCGATGATTATAGAAGCGAACAACAAATATACGTGTATGTTCACCAGAGTGTTGGCTTCACTCAAGGGGCCGAATCAGCAATGACAACCAGCAGCACGGTCCAGCCAAGATGGAGATCCTGAGGAGACGTAGGGCTTGGGGTTTCGGGTTTGGTGGCCTGGGGTTTAGAGCCGATTGAGGGAAGAGTCTTTGGGCTTTGGAAATTAGTTAAGGGCCAAAGGCAGGGCCTTCAGGCCCTAGGATGTTGGAGCTTCAACATCTTCAACTTCGGTCGCCGGAGGCTTTAGGCGGGTTCTTGCTCTTTCGACCTTGCAGGGGCTAGGCAACCTTGGTTGCTTGAACTCGGGGTTTTCAGGTTTTTGAACTGTATAGACTAGCTAGTTGCAGATATTTGTAACTCTTCGCTTCCAGGCCTACGCCCTGGTCTAAGAACTTGAAGGTCTACCTGACACTGCGAGCTTAATCCAAACTTGGGACTTTTCACCTAAGACTATCAAGCCCTTCTGAAGGTTTGAGACCAGGTCCCATCAGTCCAAACTGCTACCCCTACACCCTTGACCAGAACTCCCACACTACCAAAGCTGGGCAATTGCTTGTACCATGCTCGCACCTTAGTGCCGCATGTTTCTCAACATTTCTGATGAACCACAAGAGGCATTTATTGGAATTGATCGAAGCTAGGCATAGCTACACAACATGGTCCAAGAGTCGCGGGGTGCGCTTTCAGGGCTCCGGGTAGATGGTGGTCAAGGGCTCTTGGGTTCAAATTACATGTCAGTGTGAGGTTGGTAGGTAGGTAGGTAGGTAGGTAGGTCGGTAGTGGGTAATTAGGTAGGTGGGTAGGTACGTAGGCGTAGGTGGGGATGTGTGCCTGACCATCGAAGAAGCCGGCCGTTCGCATCACTTGGGCCACCTCAGACAAGTTATCCAAATGTCTGTTCCAAAAACAATGGATGAAGTCTTCGTAAGTGTTCGAAATACATTATAAAAGCGTGAACAGGCCTACGGCAACACTAATCACCACCTGTCCGCTCCAAATACCAGCGCCGCCATAATCCAACAAGGAGCCGCATCTCAAAGCCAGGTATGCTGTGCAAGTCTCAGAAGAGAAGCATGCTGCAAACGTATGCGCACTACACAATGGGACTTCCTGTTTCTCACTACAACAGACTGCTCAGGACATGTCTTCACTGGCACCAATACACGAGATCAGGATGTCAAAGCCGCAATGACCATGCACATACAACAGTCATGCACAGCAAGGGAGCACAGCAAGAGTCTTGAAGTGGATTTATGCCGAGCAGCTATGCAGATGACAAGCCCTATGCCAATCGGTGGCATGACCACTAAGGCAATGCTGAAGGCAGAACGGAAAGTGCCTGCGCAGCGCTCATCATCAAGGCAACTGAAGAGTGATCCAACTTCCCCTCCGCTCCAGGGCACAGTCACCCAAAACAGATGGGCATGTCGCTCTGAATGCTGCTTTTCCGATAACTTAGCTGCCCAGAATGAATTAACTAAGCTTGGAAACCCACCGACATGCAACACGGAAGCAAAGTGCAATTGAGGTGCACCAATCTGTGGCGGTGGCACCGATGGCATGGGCTAGAAATTATTCACTTCCAAGTGAGTCGATTAAGTCAAAGCTCGATACTGAAGGAGAATTGCTCTCATACTACGTGAAGAAGTCTGTGTAGATGGTTCTAGTGAAGTCGCACACGCTGCATCGTGAATGAATCATGCAGCTGCATCTAATAACCCCATTGTAACTTACATGTTGAAGAGGTGCCTTCCTCAGAGAAGGCTACTGACCCTTTGCGGCCTTCGAAGATTACCGTCATCATGTGCACCTGACACAGCAAAGGATGTGCGGGAAGAGGAAAAACAATCCGGACATGAAGGTGTCTGAAATGAGGGTTTCCTATGATATAGTATAAACATGTATAAACTCCAAGTCGACCTAAATCCTGTCCTATCCTGAAGAAAGACTACGCGAGCTCTCATCCCAGACAAGTGGTCTGAAGGTTGGGTACAGAGAGGGCAAGGCATGTCCTCGGAGTTATCCCAAAGCCATGTCAGCAACACCAAGCTGATTTGAAAGAACGCCCTGCTGCCACCATTCTGTCGCTTCTTATTCTGCCACGTATTCATGTTCTTGTTTTTTCTTGCATGCGTGCTTTCCTGGTGGAGATTCAACTCAGGCAACGCGCAAAACAAGGGGCAAGTCTTGCATGAATGGGGGGATCAAAAGCCCCAGCCCAAATCCCCGAACCTGAAACAAAGTCCTCAAATTTCCCAAGCCAAAGAAAGCCTTCTGATTGAGGATGGTGTACCAGCAGCCCAGGAAAAGGGCCCTTTTGAGCACCTGACAACGCCGGGCTCGTCATACAGCTTCCTCGTGCTCGAAAATCGAAATTTACGAGAATGACTCTGCTGATGTAGAGCGTATGCCACGGCGTATGCTTCATAGAAAAGAGGCCTGTGGAGGTGAAGAACCAGGGCTTACCAGAACGCTCATACAATGTGATAACCTTCTGCGAGAACCCCGGGTGCACCTCCATAGAGCTAGTCCGCAACCCTGTGCCAATGCCCAGACGAGTGTCGGCCTCGCAGATTTTTTGGGACGAAGACTGGCTGCATGTGGAATGCGGAATATGGGTTCATGCCTCAGACCTTGCATACGTGGCTGAGGGCGCCAAATGCGACTTGCAAAGGTTGGCAACGGTCTACTCGGCCAGGTCGATGTCAGGCTGGGGCACCATTGCTTGCCGAGAGAATTTTAGAACGATCGAAACAGAAAAATAGATTAGAAAAATGGCAATCAACGTAGCTACAGTCAGCGTAGTATGAGCAGCAGCAACAGCTGTGGCGGTAGTGATGACGCTGAGGCGCGTGAGGCATGCTACTCGTATGCTTACTAAAATTTCTAAAATCTGCACCGGCAAACGCGCTGAGCAGCAGAAGTAGCTTCAGCTTTCGTTGTCCATGTTCTTTTCCTTGTGGTTCTTAGTGGGATATACATATATAATATGCATTAGCATTCACAGGTCCCCCGCATCCCCCCCCTAGAGTATGATTATCTACCCCTGCTCTGTGGTCCTGTGTTTTTGTAGTCTGGGCTTGGTGGTTTAGACTGCAGGTTTAAATTAGGTGTATAAACGATTTATAGTGTTTGTAAAGCGGTTTTATAATAAGGTTTAAAGGAGTTTGACAGGCAGCTCATGGACCTGGATGTCATAGCAGCTGCTGAAAGGGTTGAAGAGGTTTTCTGAAGGGGTTCTAGAGTGTTTATGAAAGTTTCATAGAGGTTTATACACGGCTTATAGAGATAGAGCATTTATAGAAGGTTGATCACATGTTCAAGAGTCTTACGGAGGGCTCTTAGATGGGTAAAGGGTTTACACAAGCATCATAGAGTTTGAGTTTTACGGAGGGCTCTTAGATGGGTAGAGGGTTTACAAAGGCATCATAGAGTTTTGCTCTTGCGATGCTCATCCCATCTTTATTAGCCTGCCAGCTTCTAGAGCTCGCACTAGACTTCATTATTGTCTTCCAATGGCAGCTTGTTGACGAACCAAGCATCTGACAAGGCATGGCTGGACTCTGCACACGCTATCCTTTAATTGTACTTGCACTATACCGCCAGCGATATCTTTTCGTACCGGCCTTCTTCGGGTTCTCTGCGTACCAGAACATCCAGTGCTTGCCTGCTGAAGACATCTCTGAATGGAGCAGGTAATCTACGTTCAAGACTGCACTTTGTGATGCTGTGGCAGCCAACGTCTTATGCAGGTTATGACTCGTTGTGACGCAATACTGCCAAACGGAAGCTGTCTGGAACGCCACATGAACATGCCCAAGACAGGAAATGACAAAGATACACTTAAGGAGTCATGGTGGAATGTGGTGGAACTATTTAAAGGCCGGCCTATGTTGCAATCACAGTCAGCGAGCAATGAACCCTGCATTTGAGTCTTCTAGCTTGGCCTCGGCACGTTCCTTGATTTGTGACATGCAGTGGGACACTTGGACTGCAAACAGATACCTTCGACACCCGCAAAACTGCCACATCTAGGAGATTTGTCAGACATTAGAGCTGCGTTAGGGCACGTTTTGCCCTGCAAGATGGTACTGGCCGCGAGTACAGGATATTCACAGGCTTTAAACTTCCAGGTTGCGCACATGTGTACGTAGGCCTATAGAGGAATCCATATTCATAGCCTTACAGCTTGGCATGGACAGCTTGCCAACTGTTGGTTCCTTGTCAGCATATCGAGCCCTTTGGATCGAACTGGACTTTTGTTCCATGCAATTCCAAGAGAGACCTCTTCTAACCTCCCAGGCACTACCATCCCAAGGCTAAGAAACCAACTTGAGAATTTGCCAAGAATGAAGGCAGGTCAAGTAGGAAGAGTGTGTATCATGAGGCTTTTGGGCTGGGGACTGAATACTACGATAGTTTCGATGTTCTTTTCCGATATTCCTATATAGACCCTGTATAATCCCCATATATCCTCGTGCTAGCCCTCTATAACCCTTAGAATATAGGAGATACATATGGGCTACAACAACATATGTAGGGGCTATGTTGGGATGATACAGGGATCATAAGGGTTATATAGGAATCATAGAAAATGGAATCTACTAAAGTATTTAGCGTTGATTCCAAGAATTGCACAGGCATTGCAGCAATTCCAAGCTACACATCTGGATATTGGTAAGCACGAAATACCAACAACATCGCGCCAGCTATTGTGTTTATGAGGCCTACCCTCAGGCCCTCATGAATCCCCTGCAGCCGAAGAAAGTCTAAAAGCAAGAAAGGCTTCTCAGAAAAAAGGGACCCGAGGAATGTTTGCGGGTTTCCCAAACTTAGGGGTACCTTTTGGGGGGGCCTCCTGGTCCAGGGTCCGGTAGGAATGGTAGATGGAGATACTCCCTGCCTCTGTCTTGGAAGAAGAAGTCCCTCCAGTCCTAAAGGAAGCCAGGGGTTTGTGAAGATAATGGGCAAATCTAAGGATGTTAGCCAATAGGGTAAAAACGGTCCAAGAGCACCTGCGGTACCTTTCCTTACCAATAATAACCGTAGCCATACTTGTAGCTACTGGAGGCAAATACAGGGGACTGTTCAAAAGAGCCAGTACGACTCTGAATTTGAGAGGGACCCAGGAATCGGGACTGTTGCAGCAGCTTGTCCTGATAAGTGTGTCGTACAAATGCCGTCCTTCGTACAGATCAACACTTTGTCAAAGTAGACTCGGGCATGCGTCGGCTGAGTGAACCGCGCTTGCTAATTAACAAGGGGTCAAGTTGTCAAGACCAACGAACCGCAGGTCTTGGAGCAGCAGGTAAGACCAAATTGACCACTGCTCCTGACTCCTGACCAGCAACACAAATATCCTCAGGCAGGCACGTATCGCCTAGGTGGGATTTCGTTAGGAAAGAGTTGGGCAGCTACTTATAATTAGTAGCGTGGCCCATCTGACATAGCCAAGTCCTTGAGGTCCGACAGGAAGTGAGTGTAGGCAAACCTTGGACGTTGGAGTTCCAGCACGGTTTCGAGACATCGAGCAGAAACATACGCCAGACACGGCGGGCTACAACTGACTTTGACAACTTAAAAGGCCCCGCTTCTAGCGTCATCCCATTCCCTCCGGAGAACCATCTTTTATGTTGACAGAACGCACGGTCTGCTTTGAACAACTTCATCATGCTGTCAATATCTGCGACAAGTCAAATGGATTCACTCCTTGGTCGAGATGATTCTCACTTCACTGCTCTGCTTTCCTGCCAGAGTGCTGGTACGGGTTGAAGATGAATGGTGCCAGCAGCCAAGAGCCTCATCCAGAGCCCTCCCCCAATGAGCTTGGAATCCGATAGGGGCCCCATGTACACGGAGATTACGTTGAAACGCGCTCGCATGAAAGTCCATACTAGTTCATCGTAGCGTTATACCAGATTCTGTACGTTCACTATTGCATGCTATTGCGTTTGAGTACGGGGAATATCTTACCGGGCTCGGGTGATCCAATGTGGCGGAAGCTCCAAACAAAGGATCATTTTTTTTGTCCGTGGGTGTACTTGGAAAGGACAGGCAGCGTCCTCTGCTTGTGTTCTAGCCTCTCTTCAGTCTTCAGCGAATATCACGTTGCTGGGCCAGCGCCTTCTGCGTCTCAGCTTATACTTCCGAGCAACTGCAACTGCTTGGACTCACTCTTCCGAGGACGTGGTGGTGCATACGCGTGAAACTTCTTAACACGCCCCTGGAACATCAGCGTTTGCGCTTGGAGGTTACAAGGATGCCACCATACCGACAGGCAAGGACGCCAAGCAGTGTCCATGGTACCCTCAACCCCGCAGGCGCACCGGCGTGGCCCTATAAACCCCCTACAAGCCTCCACAGGTACGTACTAGACCAGACGAGAACAAGATCGCGTTCATAAGGACCCATTATACTTTCGGGAACACGGGCATATTCCATGGGAGGCGTTTGCTATGAGAAAAACATGCCCTCCTAAACGGAATCCCAAAAGGAGACTTGTAGAAACCACTGCCCTTGTGAAAAAAACAGTGGCCCCCTTTTCATTCGGGGCAGTGACACGTCTTGACTCCCGTCTGGATGATCCCGAAAAAAAAGGGGCCCTTTAGCCCTTTACCCTAATCAATCATCTTATCCTTGGAATTGGGGTTCCCCAAAAAGTACCCCCGACTCTTTAGAACTACCCCTATGGAAGTACCCAGCCAAGCCGCAGATTGTGAGTCCCAAGGCGATGAGCCACCAAAGAAGCGATTGCTCTACTGCCAGGCCGCCTGGCTACAACAATAAGAATACAAATAACAACAATAATAATGATACTAACAATAGTGATAGTAATAGTAATAGTAGTAACAATGGTAGTAATGATACTTTAGGGTGCTGACTGTTTGGCTGTTGTTGGGTGTTTTGGTTCTCGCAGCTTTTCTCCAGAGTCTGGTGGCTGCAAAGATGCGCTTGTTTGGGTTAAGTTTAGGGTTGAGACTACAGTAGTACAGGGACTGCTTCTTTGGGGTCCAAAAAAAAAGGTAGGAACAGAAGTTGGAGGTAGAAAGCTTGAGGCCTCTCCTTGGACTTCATTTCAGGGCAGAAGACCCCGGATGCCAAGCCAGGCCATCTGTTGCGTAGCATTGTCACATCAAGCGTTCTTATGATTCTCATCATCCTGAGGCCTTCATGGTTCGTGGTACCACCTCCAGTAGTTTAAGTATTACGACTGCCACCGTGATCTTCATTCATGTAAGCTCGTTCCTGGTATCACTTGTGATCTTTCCTTTACGCTGCTGCTGGTGACACCTTCACTAGTAAAGTCATTGCTGCCACTATGGTCAAAGTAGTTACCATGACCATTAGTTCGGGCCTTGCACGCCGGGAGGTGAGCCAGGAACAAAGCTCTACGTGTCTTTAGATGAAGAGGAGAACATCTTTTGATGACGAAGGCCAAACAAGAGGAAGCAACGCAGCACACTGAATGGCAACAAGGACAGGAACCGCCGTCTTCTACGAATCCTGGGAAAGTCCTACCATGTCTCACAAATTTGGGGGGATAATCGAAGTGTAGAGCAATTCAGGAAATCTCACCTTATGAACTTGCCCCAAGACAAGCTGTGGTTCCAAGAGCTGTATGAAAGCTGTCAGTTCTCGTCGTAAAGCCCGAGGAAGGTGCAACAGCATGCAACCCCAGGAACTCGATCCTTGACTCTTGTCACAATGTTAGACACTCTTCAGCTGTCAATAAAGAGAAGCCCCTCTTGTAGAGAAAGACTGACACCCCACAACATATGTCAGCATCCCCGTTTGAACAGCGCGCTTCCCTCCTATTCGGATCCTCATCTAGTGGAGTTGCTGATGAATCTGCTCTCATGACTCGCCATCTGCACAGCAACCAAGTAACCTCCGAATCCAAACGTGATCCATGCAAAAGAAGCTCTCCCAATCCACAGAGCCTGCAAGCAGGACCATCACGGATGCAATGAGCAGCTGCGCACCTGTTGCTGCCAGAATTTTGACTAGCCCACGCTTCAAAGATCCGGTTTCCGTGTAGGATGCTTTCATGAGGCCGGAAAACTTGGAGAGCCCTAGGTTGTGCAAACTTTTCATAAAGCGAGGTGCCTATCAGGCCTGCATGGTGGATCTTTGTGCTGCAAACCGTGAAGATTAGTGACCAGCGCCCAACGCCACCCAGCGTAGGCTCGGCATCATATCCTTTCAAACAACCGCCGCAAGTCGCCAAGGTTTAAACCCTAGACATCTCGGACGTAGACCAGCTAGCATTTGTGACAATGATGCAAGAATCTTCAAGGGCGCAACGGAAAGGAACCACAGGCTGGCACTTCCCATGGCTTCAGGCAAATTTCCCCCAAATAGTGCTGGCGAAGAATGCTGGGAATATTGAACTCCAGGCACCGTCGTAGAGTGCCAGTACAGCGTAGTCGTTGTACAGGCCACCTCCACCACCTGCCAGACTTTTCCAAATGCTTTTATTGCCCCCAATCCTCGCTGCATGACAATCTTGTTTACTACTGCTCCCAGAGTCTGTGCATTGCTCTGATAACATGTCAGGTAGACTGCTTTGCGAGCATCACGCTCCATGTCTATCAGCGGGGCTGCTGTCATCTACATTATTGATTTCCAGCGCTTCAATCTGGGTGCTCTCCGTCTGTTACCTTAGTATAGATGTAGATGGCTGTAAACTGTAAACGGCTTCAACAGCTGCAATGACACGGGTCATCCTTTTAGGCTAAGACCGGCCGGTGGCAGACTGTGTTCAAGAGTCCTTTGATTTGGAAGTTCAGTAGTTATGTCTGCCACATGGAGAAGGTTGCCAGGATGCAAACAAGGCAACCAGTTTGTGCCCAAAGAGACATTCCCATGATTAGCTTCAAGGGCTCCAAGGTGAAAACGATGTCGGTCCATGCGCCCATCCGCCCAAGATGCTCACATCAGCACGTACCGTATACCGAAGCGGTTTACGAGCAGTGCCCACTGTCAACCGATTAACCGTCCCGCGGCGCATCCGTGCTCTTCATGTATGTCCACCGGTAATCTCTGCTCTGGACACGTCTGAGAAGCACGAAAATGCTCAATGCTCGGAGAGCCCTGTGGGCTGTTAGCAAATCTGCAAATTTGGCATGTCCAAACCCTGCCTTTCTTTTTGTCACCGTCGACTCCTCAGCTGACGAGAAACCTATGTGAACATCACCGAAATGGAAATGTGCGTGCACAGCACCGGAAGGTTGGGTATCCAATCCAATCCCTTAGACCCTCAAGCATGAGCATGTCATTGATTGGCTTGCGGGTCTTCAATCCAACTTACACCCTTGCGCTCATGCCCTCCAGTCTGCCAGGATTAGGGCATACAAGAAACGCCGCAGGAAGGCTCGCCGCTCTGTAGGCAAACCACGACCGGTGGGAAGGTACTTCGCACCTGACCAACATGCATAAAATTTTCACTCTGCCAAGCTTTGTCTTGCAATCATTGGGACACTCAAGGCATCTCAAACAAAGGAGGTGGTGGTTACATTTATTCACAGCAAAGTACAAACAAATCCCCATTGCCGAAAATACAGCCTCCAAGCGTGATCTCGTTTGTCAGGTACGCGCCGATGATCTTCGCCTAGGGAACAGGTTCCAAGGCGAGTCTATAAAATAGCAAGCAGAGGGTGAACTGACTTGCTGATGTTCCCATTTCTATCTAGACCGTGAACCGAACCCTGGGATTTGCGTGCAGTCAGTTGTCACTCTGCCCAGCATGACAAAGACGCCAGGCCTGCAAACCCATCCTGCTTCAGCTTTGGCAGCCCTTTTGAAGGCTGAAGCTTTGCCTCTGGAGCTATGATAACAGCCTCTTGTTTCATGAGAGTTGCACGCTGTTTCATGCGCTTGGTCTCTTGCTGCATTTTGGAAGGCGTGACCGCATTGCTCTATGTGCACTTTGCTTGCCGCCGCGGCCAACAGCTAGCTCATGTAAAAAGACGTACTTGCCTGGAAGACAAAGTGCAAAGGCGCCAAGGTGACCATCCTCAGATCATGGGGATGCAAGACACGCCGAGCTTTGGTAGCACCTCTGCCCCTGATGGGAACCAGTAGGGGACATGTAGCAAGTGAATGGTGTAAGCGCCAGAGCTTAATGGCGTGTAATGTGGGGGCGGGAAATTAAGGAAACCTCCAAATGGGTAGTTCTCACGCGGGTACCCTTTCAGAATACCTATATAAACCTCATATCGCACACTACCCTCGTACGAGCCTTCTATGAGCCCTGTGGGAGGGTTACCCAACTGGTAACTGGCCACCTGCAGGTGTCCTTGAGAAATGGGGAATGGCGCAATTCCTGACGGTAAACTCAGCCGCATGTTGTTGCTGTCGAGATGTTGACTCGATTTTTTTCGCGGGGACGATTGAAGAGGAGAATGAGGGTGCATAAAGTCTGTCGTGTCTATCTTGCGATTAGCACGTAAAGTTGTGGCGAATCACTTCAGACGTCTATGTGATGTCCTTGTAGTGCCTCTAGAAGTGTTTCAAGAAGCATGGGTCCCGATTTGGCTGGCAGGAACCCTCTACCTCATGTCAGGAATGTGTTGTCTGATGGTTTTGGGGGCCCATGTTTCCAGACAGAGCCAGCCATCTCCTCCTCATGTGCCCCAACCTAACTTGAAGCACCACCAAAAGGAGCCCAATCCTGAGACTCAGATTACCAACATGAAAATGCTATGAGATCCCCAGTGCAACCCCCTCCTGGGCCCTCTGTCTTCAACCCGTCGATGCAAGGGTCTGCTTCAGAACGCGAAGGAAGGCCGCCACGGAAGAACTCTCCAGCCAGACCTGAGTCAGGGTTAGGAGTAGCAATAGTAGTAGTCATAGTACAAGAAATAGAAATAATCACAATAAAAGTAATAATAGTCAGCCAGAGTAATAGTAATAGTAATAGCAGTAGCAATAGTAGTAGTAAGTACTAATACTAGGTTGCAATAGTAAGTAGCAATAATAACAATGATAGTAGTAGTTAATATCAACGGCAGTAAAAGTAAACAATAATAATAACAATAATAATCGCAATAGTAGTAGCAATCGGGTACAGCATCAATAGACATAATATTGTTGAGAGCTTTGGGCTTAGGGATTAGGATCTGGGATTGGGGCGGCGGGGTTAACCTTGACTTGCACTACGGCCCGTCCCATCGAAGTGGGTATGGGCCTTTGCCGGGATTCATCTTATCAGGGGTGCTTCGTAAAAAACTCTCACTATGTGTTCCTGGGCCGTTTCGCAAGCGCATTGTGGCAAAACAAGTTTATCTCCTGAAGTCGCCCAACAGTCGTTAGCAGCCTTCAGCCTGCTCTAGACGCCGAGGGCCGCCAACTAACACTGGAAGTGCTCAAGGTTGGGAGCATCTCAGTCTACATACGCATACTGCATACTCCAGGGCTATGTATACGAGTGATTATAACCAGCTGTAGGATCCTAACTGTTGTAATTTGGATTAGGTCTCAGTGTTAGTTTTTGCGGAGCTTTTGAGCTCATCATGGCAGAAATCTATCATAAGATTGAGGACTTCTAAAAAGAAGGGTACTGTAGAGGCCTGAATGACAAGAATCGGCTTTTGGGGTATGGTGCAGCATACTCAATCAAGGGTTTTGAGGCAATGAAACTGGGCTTCTACGCAATGCTTGGAAATGATGGAGGCAAGTGTCTAAAGTGTTGCCAGGACAATGCAAAAAATTGTAGAGCAGCCATCCAGACGAAAATGAACAGGACTTGGTGTTTCAACGCAGGCCTCTAAACCTAAACCCTAAAGCGTATCTTGCAAATACTCAGCCAACTGTCAGAAACTAATGTGCACAACACCTCTGCCCCAAGTCAGTCCTTACAAGTCCTACCCCGCATGTGCACACTTCGTGTGAGACCTTGACAGCAAATGTGAGGGCACAAGGCATGGAGACAAAAATGAAAATAGTTGCAGCCTTCCAGCACAAGTCGCAGGAATCTCCACTTCCAGACTAAGCTGTGTTGGAGTCTTCTTGCCACGCTTTTTGGTGTAGTTGGGGTTTGGGGTCTGCAGCCAGGCACTTCCCTGAGACTTCCTGCGCTCTCTGGATGGTTAAACCGCCGACCTGGGCTGCTGGCTTGCATTGCCAACGGGGCGGTCTGCGCAATGATGAAGAGCATCAGTAGCCTCATTGTCTTGCGGCTTTGTATGCTCAATGCATGACGTATAGCAGGAGGGTCCAGTAATGGCTACCTTGGCAGGCACCCCGTGTAACAGAAACATGGATCCTGGCTGCGGGGTCCCTTCTACACCTGAAGCTTGTTGTCAGGACTCCAAACGACAAGAGACCCCTAGATCTTCAGGACCAGGCAACCAGGAGTACTGTGTGATAAGCATGCGTGCGACGATCTTCGCCCCCGTCTCCGTCTTGTCATCTGCCGGCACAGGGCCATCTTTGAGATGCCAGTATTTCAAGGCGCATACCGAATTTGCGGCTCCATTTCGGGGTCCCCACTCAGAATCCCAAGTCTTCCGTGGCAATACAGACGTCCGAAATTCAGCATCCACATATAACTACGGGTAATGTTCCGTGACCCGTTTGAGTGTCCGTATATGCTAGGATTTGGCATGGTTTCAATAATGAGAAACACCTTGTAGAGCTGCCTTGATCTCGGTTAGGCACCAATGGCCTGGGCTCATTGCTACAGTAGTCACTGCTTCTCTTCTCGTGTCTACATCACTTCTCAGTGGAAACGACCTTGAAGTCACAAGACACCACATGAACAGCAAGTACCTTCCTATCACAATCTCTTAGGATGTCATCCCTGCGTTGCACGTACTCAAGCTGTCGCGGCCTGCACTCATGGCTGGGAAGTTCTGCTCTGGATCATCAAGCACCACCAGAAGCCATATGAACACAAGGAGCGGAATACCTTGAAGCCGTTGCGAGGCCGTGTTGCAAATCCACAAATGAATGCTCTCCACTGCCCTGACCCAGCATCAGTTTCTTGGTGCTTGGGCCGCTTAGGCCTAGTGATTGCGTTCTAGCTGTAGGGAGATAGGGAGCACTCGAGCAGCTGGAGCAGCCACGTCGGGTTAGCTAACTGGCAGAAAATCTGCACATGGGCACTTGTGAATGCTGGCAAGCGGCTCTTGGAAAGGAAGAACTGTGTCAGGTAGTAGCCAGCATGGGCATAGTAGAACCTGGGTGTTGCGGATACATGCTTGCACAGACAAAAAGAGGGAATGATACATCTGAAGTTGTACCTGAGCATCTAATGTCACTTCTGCACAAATTTCCAGCTGTTGCATAACATGCACTGCATGTTCTGAACTTCTGCAAGCGGCGTCAGGAACTCGGGCAAATCCTCAGCCGCGAAGGAAGCAATTGAACACCCCTTGCCTCCCAAAAGTCTGCCGAAACATGCGATTCGATCACAGGCGTTTGCACTAAGCCAAAGCTACTCAACCCAAATACATGCCTGGGTCATGCTTGCCAGAATAGCAGTGGCTACAAAGGAGTTAGAAGATTCCCTCTCGGATCCGTGGTAGCATCATACTGCAGCGTGCATGACTGAATGACAGCGCAGACCTTCTTGACTGGTTGCCATACTCCTTCCTCCTGCAAGGGCTATGCAGAACGATGTTTGACACTTACTCTGAGCACCTCGGTAGACCTGCACCTGCGGTAATGGCCTCTGATCCTAAGGGTTCTATAGGGAGATAAAGCTTTTGCCTTGAGGCCTATAATCCCTATATAGTCCTATATAATCCTATAATCCTGAGGTGATCCTATAGTAGTTTCCATTGTCTTTTCCATTATGCCAATATATCCCCAATATCACCCCAATGGGTTGCCAATCCTAAACCCAAAGCCCTAAATAGTAGTTTCCATTTTCTTTTCCATTATCCCAATATAACCCCAATATAACCCCAATATATCCCCAATATAACCCCAAAATATCCCCAAAATATCCCCAATGTAACCCCAATATAACCCCAATATAACCCCAATGCGTTTGAAGTCTACTGAGGCAGGGGCCAATTCATTCCCCAGCCGCGCCATCTGTCGGGTCAGCATCTGCTCGCCCGTCCCGGCAGAGAGCTTCGAGAAGAAGGTCAAGATCTCAGCATCTGTGGATAATGGGTTTAGGGTTTAGAGTTTTGGGTCAAGATGTGGATAAATGGGGGTTTCCCAAAATAATGGAGAATCAAATGGAAAAGAACATGGAAAATGAAATGGAAACTTTATTATATAGGGGATTACAAGGTTTCCCAAAATTAGGGTACCTTTGTGTAGTCCCCATAACAAGGAATATAATATTTTGGGGTCTATATTGGGGTCCCATTATTTTGGGAAACTACCGAATCAAGATTCAAGAAACCTGCGCCCAAGTTGTTAAATTGAGTAGATGAACTTACAAGCAGGTAAGTCCTTGAAGTTCTGCTGGGCTGCAATCCTTTAACTGGAGCCATCTGGAGCCCTTTATTATCCCACTTTCGCGAAAGGAAATCTCACATGACTCACAAGCATTGTTTCAGGCATGATGGGATCAAACAAAATCATAGGATCCGTGCAAACAAAATCATAGGATCCGTGCTCTGTGTTGAGAGTGCATGCTGCAAGGCTTCTTCCCTCAGCACTTTTTCTGTTGCGGAAGCCTTGCCAGAGCTGAGGGGTCCAGCATCCCATATGCAGGTAAGTTCGAAATCAAGACGGTGTGGTATGCCAAGTTTGCAGAGGCCGGAGCTCTTACGGATCTATCTAATAAGAAATCTCTAAGAAGGATACCTCAGGGCCACGACACAGACTGACCCAAACAGGAAATCAAAGCCACGGGGCTGTGTTGAATCCCAGATCCCTGCCCTTGGCCACGTGCAGGTACCTTGCTCGAATGAAATCGGCTCAGGTTGCCCATCTTGCTGACAAAAGTTTCATGGGGGCTCCCAACCATGGTGCAGAGCAGACAAGCACAGGGTCATGGCACTTCAGCACCTTGCTGCAGACAAAAGGCTCCCTGTGGACAATGTTGCGTCCGTTGCCGCGCAGTGTCAGGTCCATCCCGGCGAAAATGTCCTGCAATGCTTCAAAATTGAGATTGAGTCTCAGGTTTCGAAGGCGGTTCTGTCATGGCTTGGTACTACAAAAACAGGATGTAGGGTTTGGCAAGGGCTGTATCAAGGGGTGGTGACATCAACAGACTGAAGCCGAAAGAGATCTGACAGGTTCTGCCATAGACCCTACAGAATGGCACCATGTTCTTGGAAATGAAGTCGGGTAAGAAATGTAGCTGCCAGAGTAATCTAGCACAAGGAGCCCTGTGTCCACCCTTCATATCCTCTCGGTACAGCATTGCGTAGAAATGGGGACATAAGACGCTTTTGGCAACCTCATTTTCCCAAGTCGTGGTTTAGGGCCACTTAGAAGCAGAAGCCAGGCAAAGAAAGAACCCCGCCTCGGAGAGATTGACCGTCTTCGTTGCTTTTGAGATTCCCCCCTGCCTCAGTCCCGGGTGAGGGATTTTGAAACATGGCTTTGGGTTTCGGGGTTAGGGGAGAGCTCAGAGTCACAATTCAAGAAGTTGTTACAGTTCGGCCACAGCACAGAGGAGCACGGCAGAGGTGCATGTTGGCAATCACCCAGGGGGTGTCCGTAAGGTCTTGGGCTGACAAGAGCTGTTGGGCTCCAAGGGTTGAAGATTTCCTTCTTCTATCATCAAACAGAGATATGTAGAAATTAGATGTGTCCAAGATGATCAAGCCGCTGGATCATGACCTCCTTGTTCATCATGTCCTGAAAGAAATTTCGCAGAACAGCAGGCACAGAAACGCCCGGCACGCGAAGGGGGATATCCCAGAAGACTTCTGTCCCTACCTGATGCTTTCTTGGCTTGCAGGGACTCTCGAAACCTGCAAGTGGGGAGCGTATCACAAAGCTGGCCCCGGATACTAGTGGAGCTATTCCCATGACTGCCATCACTACTCTTTACTCTTACTAGGATTCTGAACATTGTGTTTTGCACCCATTTCTGGCCACAAGTTTCGGCCGATGCTCTCAGGTTCTTGTTGCCGTTGCAACTAGCCGGGCCAGAGCTCAGGACAGAACTAGTTAGCACCCTGCAAGGACATGTGAGTAGCGCTTGTTTTGGTGGTTGAACCTGGTAAGCTTATATATATATATATTCCTTATGTAAAATACTATACCCCAAAAGGAGGATATAATCTTACTCTATATTGGGTACCATAATATTCCCAAATAAAATACTACTCACGTGACAAAACCCTGTGAACAAGCAACTCAGATCATGGCCATGCTTGAGCCCTAAACCCCAAACCGCGAAGGCTATGCCAAGTGTCGGGATGTCCGTAGTGCATGCGTGCTCCGAGAAGGGCCTGGAGGCAAAGGCTAAAACATTGATGGGCCCTTCTGCATGTAGTTACCCAGGGGGTGAATACAGCTTCATAAAGAGCCATCCTGACAGTTGTACAGGTTTGTTTGGTTGGTCCTTTGAGGGCATGTAGGTGACCCTAAGCTCACCCATTATCATGTGCCGGTGTGAAGAAAAAATGGCAAAGGCAGTAGTACGCCGGGAAGGAGCAGTCGTAGCAGGAGGGAGGAGTAGGAGAACTTGCACGTAACAGTCACCAGAAGAGAGCCTATGTAGTCATGACACAGAAACTCAAATGTCCAGATGTAAGAAGCAAGTTCATCGACCAGCTCGTGATGATGCAAGTTCAAACATCAGTCAAGGCGCATACGAACGTTGCAGCACGGTACCGAAGGCAGTCTCGGCACCCGCAGCAAAGTCTCCAAGTGAGCCAATGTCACCTCAATATCCAAGGATCTGTAACCCTGAATAGATAGTCTAGGATCCCAAAGCCTTCTTGGTGGTACTAGTGTGCTGTGAATAAATGGGTTCTGCAATCTGGAGTATAGTTGCTAGGACCACAAGATTGTCATTTGAAATCTTGCCTGGGCACAGGCATGTCGATCGCTGCTAACAATCTCGGGGCTTAGGGTGTAGCCATGGTCTGGCGCAAGCCGAGGCTACGAATGCAATTTGCAACAAAAGCTCCGGGGTCCTTCTGGCTAAAGCAAAGGGGTCACTGCTTGGCCAGGGCCCTCAGTCTGCCTCGGAACAAACATCGAAATCCTCATATGATGGGGACCCCGTAGTAGCTACTTACAGTAATCATAGTCATATTGACTGGGATAATACCCGTAATTCCAAATAAAATAGCTGGGCCTTCACCTAAGTATGAGAAACTTTCAGGTAGTCGGAGAGCTGGTGATGTGCTCCGCGAAGCCTACGATGCGCGGCTCCAAGCCTCAGGGGGTTGGTGAGGACGGTTGGGGCTTTTTTGGGTTTAGAGTAGAGAGCCTGAGGTTTGGGGTTCTGTTGTTTGAATTAACACACCTTTCATACTGGGTTCAAGGTTAGGTCGTAGGGCTTTTGGGGCTTAGCCCTTTGGGGAATTTACATGGCAGTTTGGGGCTTAGGGTTTAAGTGTAGGGGGGTTTGGGAACGAGGGTGCAGAAGAGCGTCTGAAACTGCTGGGACCTGCTTCTGGGCTCCTGATCACGTGGACCCCTGCCTACTATCTACAACTGCTCGAGCCCAACAACCTCCAAACCAATGTAAGTCTAATCGAACCCAGTTGCAGCGACACTACAGCTGTCATCCATTCACGTGCTAACTGCCTTCCGATCTGCCCATGCATACAAAAAACCAATTGAGAATGAAACGGCTGCTTGCCACATGCTGTCCGAGTCCGGTGACTGACTTTCTTTGCAGCTATAGCCTAATTCCCGAGAAGGCTTCTCTAGATTTAAACGGGGTCTTTGTACAACCTCTGGCATCTCC